TTATTATGTTTATTCAAAATAAACCTTCTTCTTATTACTTCTGTAACATGTTTTAAAGAAAATAAGAGTAAAAATCCTCAATTTGTTTCTACAAATTGTCTTTGTAACACTTCAGAAGAACTCTTAACTCTTGTAGATATAAAAGACAACAGTTAAAAAAATGCAACTATAAAAAAAAAACTCCTTTCAATCACTGAAAATAATTTATTTACCACATTTTAAATCTGGGCCTTAAAGGGTTAATGCTCCTGAAAGCATCTCTGTCTGCTGCAGCTCGATGTTGTGTGACAGAAAGTGGGGAGGGATGTGCTCAGTGTGTTAACAGCAGCTCATTCTGTCTGGATTTATGGTTTTTTGAGTTCACAATCAACTCTGGTCTCTTTTTAACAGCTGAGGGATGTCACATTAGCTGTGCTGCTGATCAGCACTATTTTTAGAACAAGCATGGAGCTGCTGACTCCCGGTCACACCGGGGTCTGTGTTGGTGATTCTTGCTGTATCAGAGTAATTACTGATAAGGTAAACATGCTGTAGCTTCACCTGTCATGTCTTCCTTGAAAGAAAAAAAAAGGAGCTTGCAAAGCTGTCACATCAGACAGTTTTCATGGCGCGTCACATCACACACACATACTGTACATGGCTTGCTGTCTTTGTGAGGACTAAATGACACAGTGCCTACAGCTTCGCTCTGCGCACAGGAACCCGCAATGTTGGTTTTTCAAAATAAAGTATATTGTATCTTTTTCATTGAGGTTTAAATAGAGTTTCAAAGTCTGATKATGGTTAGTATAAGAGTGCAAATATAGGATATAAATATTCTTTAGATTGTCTTAGCCTAGTATAGGCCTAGCATAAAAAAAACTTTATTCTGAAAGTGTGGCGGCTATGATTTTTGCCGTGGCGGTGTGSCACGATCAATTCCATGTAGGGGAAACCCTGGCGGCCTACAGTCCACGCCGGCTGCAACCCATGAATTGAGACACAGGCGTTGTGTCCCTGTGATGGACTTGTGACCTGTCCAGGGTGTACCCCACCCATCTCACTGTGACTGCTGGATGTGGGCACCAGTGACCCCTGAGACCCTGAGAGGAAGAAGCGGGTACAGATTAGGGTTGGGCATAATCGTATTGTGTGCAATTTATCGTCAGAAAAACATTAATCGATTAATTTTTGGTACTTGACGATTAATACGAGTAATGCCACCAGACAGAATCCGCTCGCTGCTCCTCTCTGCTTCAAACGTGATGAACATTAAAAACAGTTCTGCARTTTATTTATCTATCAACACAGTTTTAAATTTGATGTATAGCCTGAAGTCTGTAATTTTGACACAATTTGGAACAGATTTTTATGAAATCTTTCCCACTAAATTGGTCATGTGACTAGGACATGAGGGTGTCCAGGGACTCCAGGGGATTAATTGTCAAATTGATTGTTATCGGCTAAATACCACAATTAATCGTGATTAATTTTTTTGCCAATATTGCCCAACCCTAGTACAGATAATAGATGGATGCTAAATCTTTTAAAACTGATCTCCTCCACAGGTGCAAGCATGAAACTTCTCATGTCACACTTAGAGTAGTGGCTCTACATGTGAAGGAACAGTTMTTTTATGACCAAGTTATGTTTACACATATTAAAGCTAGATAGTTCACATTTACAAAAATAACAATATTTTATGTGTTTTGAAACTATTGACATCAAACTCATATCAGACATTCAGTGAGACATTTTGAGCCTGTGGTTCAAATTTCATAAAGAACAAATTCTAGGGGCACAAACACTAATGCTGATTGCTACCAAATTTATTACACTTGCTTTAGACCTCAAACTGAGTTGGTCTATACAATATGGTAGTGATCATCGAAAGTGGGTGTGGCTTGTAAACAATGCCCTTTAAAATACAATAAAAACTCCAGTTGGTCCCACAGGACACCACTTTTTTCAGTCATATTTTGATGATGATTTTCTAGCTTTCTTGGTCCAAACACTTGATTTTTGTTTGAACCGGATAAATTTGTAGCATTTTATATATATATTTTTTTATGCTATGCATTATGCATAATTG